CCACGCGCAGGATCAGAGGGCAGGAAAACAGACCTTACGACAACAGGCTGAGAGCCATGGGGCTCTTTAGCCTGGAAAAGCACAGGCTCAGGGGTGACCTGATGGCCACCTATAAGTTTATCAGGGGTGACCACCAGGATCTGGGGGAACGTTTGTTCACCAGAGTGCCCCAAGGGGTGTCGAGGTCAAATGGTCATAAACTACTGCGAGACCGTTTCAGGCTGGACATAAGGAAGAATTTCTTTACTGTCTGAGCCCCCAAGGTCTGGAACAGTCTGCCATCGGAGGTGGTTCAAGCACCTACACTGAACACCTTCAAGAGACATTTGGATGTCAATCTTGCTGGGATCCTATAACCCCAGCTGACTTCCTGCCCTTTGGGCAGGGGGCTGGACTTGATGATCTTCTGAGGCCCCTTCCAGCCCAAATGTCTATGAAATCTATGAAAGTAGCTGTTAAATAGTAGACAGGTTTATGGCTTTCCTCCAAGGCCAAGCTCCTCGCCTCTTGTGACTACACAAGGATCTTGGCTTCCATGTAAAAATTAAACATTTCCAGACATCCTGGTTACTAAAGAAAGTTTGAAAGTGTGGCCCAAGCGAGCCACCAGTGCTAAAGACAAAGGGACCCCATGGTCATCCAGTCCAGCGCTCTGTACACCTTGCCTGCAGACTGTTCCCCAAAGCTGGGAACAGGCAGGTCTTTTAGGAAGAAACCCAAGCTCATGTGGAAGTTTCCAAGGTGTGAGGAATCCACTCTTTGTTCTAGCAAGCTAACATCAACTTCCACCCATTAATCTTTTTGTCTTGAAGACTGAAAAATGTCCCCAGTGAGATGTCTGTTTCATGTGTTAAGTACCTATATGCAAAAAGGAAGATGTGTGAGGTGAGGTAATAACTTTCATTGGACCAATTTTATAGTAGGGAGAAAGTTGGACAATTTCAGGGCATTTCTCCCAACTATGAAGTTGGCTCAGTAAAAGAGATTACCTTGCCTTACAAATCTTCCTTCTCACATAATACTGGAATCATGACAGCTACAACACGACTTAGTACAAATAAAGAGCCATCAAGTCACCTCTTATCGATTTCTTTCATAAACTGAACTGAACTCCTTAATCCTTATAGCACAAGGCTTACTTTTCCAGTTGCTGGTCATATTTGTAGCCTTCCTTTGAATTGCTTCCAATATTTCCATCTCCTTTTTGAGATGCAGACACCATAAAAGCTCAAAACCCAAAAGGCAAATAAAAAGAATTCCCAAATTATTTTTTTAGGCGAATCTGTTAGGGCCTCTGGGCACTAAGCAATGACAATGCTGCCAGGGGCCTCTTCATAAGGAAAAAATCAATCCTGAGGAGATTAGTGTCATTTTTCACTGGAAAAGCTGACTGAGGTGTATTGCAAGACCAGTCAGCTCTCTGCAGCATCTCGTGGGTTCTCTAAACAGCATTTCCAAAACACGGCTGCAGAGCAGCCAAACATGCGAGAGCTGCTCTCCCCTTGTGTGCAAGTCCAGGAGAACACAAGCATCCTGCCTCAGGCACCTTTATTTGCCACCCTGTGAACAGCTGCAACTCAGCAGATCTGTACCTGCCTACACACCAGCACAGACTTTGGCCCTGAGTCTACACTTGCAGCTTTCCTAACCACTTGCAGCAATTAGCTGTCACATTTCCGTATCTTCTTCCTGTCCCACTGCAGTTAATGGTGGTTTTTTCACTATCCAGGATCTCACCCTCGCTATGCATTGTACCCGCTATAGCAAAACAAGGCAGCAACAATTTGCAGGACAAGCACTGTGCACCAGCCCCCAGGAGGAACTGGAAGACCATTCAGGAAGAGCAGGGCTGTAGCGCACAGATGCTTGTGACACATCACTCACTTTGGGAAGATGGCAGTCATGAGCGCTGACGCATACCCAGGCTTGCAAACCCCTTCGGAGTAATTTGTGTACTTTGATGCTAGTTCTGGAGGCCTGTGGAAAGAAAGAGAGGAGAGTCACGACTTTTCAGGGTATGAAATGCCAAGCGTGTCACCCTGACCCTTTTATCGTATATTTTCCTAACAGCTCTTCCCCAAAACGACTCTGAGCAAAACAAGCAGAGATGGAAGAATTTTTTACATATCTTTTTACACTGGAATGAGAACATCAAACCAGTGAGCGGGTAAGGATTTTCTGAGACACACTCACAATATTTCTACTGAGGGGGATTTTTAGCTAGGTGAAGTGCCTGAAGGGAATCAGAGCTATGCAGATGCTGTTTTATTCTTCTGCCTCTCAAACAGGAAAAAAGATAAACAGCAACAGAGAACCACTTGTTCAGGCTATTTTTCTACTGCAGACAGAAATAAGAGGTCTGGTAACTACTGCACCACCAAACAAGCTTCAAACTTTTTAAGTTGTAAAGCAGATTTCTACTAGTCTCCATCCACCACCCCGTGTTTAGACAAAAAGGGGATGTACGTCTCTAGCGCTCCGGACGGACGGACACTGCTGCCACTGTTCTGAGCAGTAGTCTGATAGTTCAGCCTGTCATCACAAGCTCAGGATACTGCTCTCTTCTTTCAGCAGGAACAAGGTTGAAGTGTTTAAATCTACCCTGGGAGGAGATCCGAGCCGGGTACACAGTGTTATCACAGACTTGCTGCGTGACAAACTACGTTCTAGTAATCTCTCTGTGCCTCAGTTCCCCACCTATAACCTGCAGATAATTTATAGTTACCTGCCTTATGGAAGGACTGCAAGGCTGAATTCATGAGTGTTTATAAGTCACTGACAGACATGTGGATACAAGGCACTACGCAAATTATTACTGCTCCTCCATATCAAAACCTGCCCTGTGATGTGGCTGCTACCAGTTCAAAACCTGGACCTACATCAATACAGGCACACTGCGCTGCTTTGACAGGAAAAAGCCAAAAATTAAAATTTATTCTGTAAGTTTCCAAGAGTAGACAAAGTGAACAAATACCATACTGTCTCTCTTGCCACCCCTCAACTGCGATGCACACTGCTTTTGGAAGGCAGATTGTAGGGGGTGGGGAAAGGATTTTTCCAGCATCAGGACTGTTCACTGGCTGCTACAGGCAAAAGCTACAGTGTTACACCTTTCACAGTCACTGCCAAACTGGCAGCAGCTTTTGGCCGCTCAGCCAAAAGCTACGGCTAATTCAGCAGTGGCTGTGTGAGGGTTGACACTGGACTCTACCCCCGCTATCTGCTGGCCAAGCGAGAAGTAGCAGCCATTATA